GTCTGGCTTAGATGCCTTGGGATTGTCTATCTCCTCAGTCCCATCGTCTAACCATCCTTCTGGTTTTACAGCCTCATCATCTTCAATTTCCAATAGGTGCATCCTCATCCCAAGCATCCGGCTTCGAAGCACTTGGATCAGGAATTTTGGCTTTATCATCCCAGTCCTCCGGTTTCTTACCATCAGGGTCCGGAATCTTCTTATCAGGGATAAGTGGAGGATCAAAATCTTCAGCTGAGAGGAAGTTTGCCTTCTTCTTCCCCTGTCCATCGACCAAAATTCTAACCACATTGTCAGGCTTCAAGATGGCAATGTACACATGAGTAAGCTTGTCCGATGGGATTAACGGTGCATTACCGAGATGATGCTCGACATATACCCCGCTTTTAGGATTCTTATGTTTCAGGATGAAGTGCAACTTGTTTGTTAACCCACATTTGTCGGGTCCAAACATGATAGAGTAAGGTGATCCGTTGTCAAATTCATTCGGTTTCCACTTGGCCTCCTGAGCTCTAAGGTATTTCAGATATGCACCACCGCATTCGAGCCCGTTCTGGAAGCGAGTCTCGAATTGAAGCACAGTGGTCCCATCCTTGAGACTCATAGGCTCATCAAGCTCTTTCACTATTGCATACTTCCGTGCCTTCTCAATAACGAGAAGCCCATAGCCATCGTGCCCTTCACTCTTCGAATGCTTCCATACACCTGCAAAACTCATAAAACCACATCAACATAAATTTGTCACTGAAAAACATCCCATTGGCCTACGAAATCATATAACACAAAGGATATTTCTTCAGTCTTAGACAACCTCAAACTCAACATCTCGAATGTGAGTGTATCGTCGACAGAAGTGTATTGTGAGGTACATTAAACGGCAAAAAAACGAAAAGTACACGAGGCATACAATCCGACATGAGAAGCATAAGTTCATCAAATTGCCAGTGGCCAATGCATCACAATGTTAAAACAGCAGGATCGAAGACATGGTGCAAACATCATTGAAGTATATCTTATCACTATTGCCACTTCCCTAATGATACATCATTTCAGCTTTCTTCTATTCATGTTTTGATTCTGTAATTTCATATTATCAAGGAGCATTTTCATTATCCTAATTCAACTGCAAGAACATTTCCAGCTCAAATATTGACAAGATCAACATTTTCATTATAAAAAACAATGACGAGATCAATAACAAGAAGAAAAAGAAATCCATAAGATGATTATTAATTTATCCGCTGACGAGATCCATAAATAAATAAATAAACAAACCACCTTTATAATCATCTTTGCTGGAGACGATCCATCGCCCATCGAATGACTCTTCAAATGAATCATAGAAAACCTAAAGCCAACCCAAACAAACCGAACTCACATTTTTATTAACAGATTCAAATATTCAGAGCAAATCGATGTGGATTCAAAAACAAATTACCGCTTCATCATCAGCGGCGAAGCAGAGGAGCTGCAATGACGATAACGCTAAAAAAGAAGAAGAAGCGCGAAATGCCTCGTAATCATCGGTTCAAGAATCCTCGCTCTGATTATGATCGGAAATCTTTTCCTTCTAATATATATTAATTGTGTTAATCTGAATCTAAATATGTTTGAGACTACTAAAATCAAAGCTGTAATTGTACGTTGCTGATTTTTAAAATATTCTAATTTCATCATCAAAATATTCATATATATGATAAATTTATTTTTAATTAGTAAAATAGTTAGTGAAACTGATAACTGAGAGTAGAAATACCAATAATTTTATCAAAATATTCGTATTTGATTGGTTTTTCGTAATATTTTTATTTATTATTTTTGAATTAATCAATTGTGTACGATTAACCTGATTAGGTTCTGCATAGATTCATTATGAGGGCAACCCTTTCAATCTAGTTTACTTCATATGCAAACGTAGGATTCGAGTCCTAGACTTTACTTAAAGAATCTAATCCCACTATACCAATCGATTGTTGATAATTATATCTACTATTAATTCTACGTACATTACCACCGAATCATTAATTTTATCAAATTTTAGTGAAGCGCATCGTACTTTTATGATCATCCTATGCATTAGGACATCATTTCTCGGGGCATAACAAATTCAGATTTTATAAAGCAGTGATCACCTATGAAGTTTACTTGGTTTCACAATAGCACTGCGTAGCAATGCCGACGGAATCGGCTATTAAGTTTACCTGATTCCAGCATTACGTAGCGATTCCGACAGGATTAGCTATGAAGCTTACCTGGTTGCAGTATAGCGTTGCAATCCTGACGGGAACAGCTATGAAGATAACTTGTTTTCAGCATTGCGTTGCAATCCCGACGGGATCATTATCTATGAAGTTTACCTGGTTCCAGCATAGCGTAACAATCCCGACGGGACAGTTACGAAGTTTACTTGATTCTCAGCTATGAAGTTTACCTGGTTCCAACGTAGCAATCCTGTCCCGACGGGATCAGCTATGAAGTTTACCTGGTTCTAGCATAGAGTAGCAATCCCGACAGGATGGATCCGGTACTAATACTTCAATTAGAGTTCCCGACATGCGCCGAGCAGACGAGAGCCAACATTCTATAACGCTCTCACCTCAGCGGGTCTCCGGGTAAAGAAGCACGAAGCTAGAATACCAGAAGCGCCGTTGAGGGAGAGAGTTAAAGATTGTTAGGTCCCTTGGTTTCCTCTCACCTCAGCGGATCTCCAGGTAAACTAAACACAAGCCTAGAATACCAGAAGCTCCCTTGAGGGAGAGAGCAGGGTTTCAAATCGCAGTCGTAGTCACTGTTATTTCGGATTTACCGTGATTGCGTCCATCGCGGGCGCTATTACGATTGTCACGGATACTATTACGGCCGTCGCGGGTAACTCGGACGGCGGCGAAATCGTTATATCGCTGTCGCGGACCGTTTTTTAAAACCCTGGGAGAGAGTTAGAGATATTGTTAGGTCCCCTAGTTTCCTCACAAAACTCAATCTACACAAAGCCAGGCGAGATGTCGAGATTTATATAGAGAAAGTTAGGGACTCCATGTTATCACCCAGTGACAGGAACTAACAAAGACGTTTCCTGGTATTTTCTGACATGTGGGAAGGAGAAGACAACAAAAGTTTTGAGTCTTTGTTTAATGGAAGTGTCTTTGGTAACATCCGATGAGCTTGGAACAACCAAAGAACTGGTTTTGGTCCCCATCAAAACTGCTAAAAGCAAAAGGACAAGAAAACACAATCTCATGCAAAGTCAGTTTCAGGGATCCTGCATGCCCCCTTCTCCACCATAGTATAAACTTTTTTTAAACATCACATTGCTGTGAGCTTATCGACGTGAAGTCCTCAAGGAATTAACGAGCTGCAGCATGCGACGTGTAGTTGTGAAAATGACCGTTAAAAATGAAACTCCGTTAACACTTGTGCAGACAGATACCCGATATTGCACTTCTCAAACGTCGCAACCGGTTGGCGAGTATGCCAAAGTTGGGTTTATGTACATGTTTAGCTCCGAAACTTCCCGGGCTTGCCCATGTTTTGTTTAGTATATTAAGTAATCATTTTTAAAAGGTCAACAATCATGTATAATGACCCTTAAATTATTCATACACAAAATTAGCTGACTCTATTCCCATATGTAATTGGGTGAGGGGAGGTAAGGTAGTAGGCTGTCCCCAACGCCAGGTTGAGAGCAGTTTCCGTAGAAGACTTCCGGCAGTAAGAATTATGAATTGCATGTCCAACTCAGTTGGTAGAGCACAAGTCCCTCCTTGATTATTCAGATCAAAACAAGGATTAATTATAAAATAGGTGTCCAAACTCTAACGCTTTTTACTAGGTGTCTAAATTATTTTTTAAATAATCCTAGTGTCTAACGTTATAAACGTTACTACTTTAGGTGTCCGGACAATGAACGACTTTAATTTCCTCTGTTAAGTGACATATATCATAATCTGGTAATTTTGAAATTTAATTTTTTTTAAATATTATTATATTTATAAAAAAATCATAATTTCTCTTAAATTATAAAAAAATCCCAAAATCTCTAAATTCTAACCTTAACCAACAGTTGTCGTCCTTTCCGACCATGCCCGCCATCGATGTAGGCCCTGTCATATTCTTAGTCATGCATCACCATATTTGTCGTCGATTGGATGATGATCGTGATTTTCATCCTAGGGTTCGTGGCGTATAAAACGTCGGTTTGTCGTCGATCAATCACAATTTTATAGGGTTTTGATCGTCGGGGGAGGTGAGGTCGGGTGGAACTTCGTCAACGATAAAGGGCGGCAGGTGGTGTGGGTTTATGGATTGAAATGAAGGCTATCAAAGTTTTGGGGATATTTTGGATTTTTTGTGTTTTTAAATATAGTTTTCATTCTTTTAAAATTTTAAATATATATTTTTTAAATTATCAGATTGTGAATGTATCACTTAACATAAAAAATTAACGTCCAACATCTAAATTGATAACGTTTCTAATGTTATACTTCAGAATCATTCAAAAAATAGTTCATACACCTATTCATGAAAAAACTATAATTTAAGCATTTATTTTATAATTAAGCCTAAAAACAACCACCACTACATTCTTTATAGGGTTTATTGTAATTGAGATATAACGAGTAATAGCTATTTTTGATCGGTTGTGATTGTTGTATTTTATTGTTTAAAAATGTTATCAATTAAACTTAATTTTTTAATTTAAAAATCATATTTAAAAAATAGCTATGATTTGAACATTTATTTTTTATTTAAAAATGTTATCAATTAAATTTATTTTTTTAATTTAAAAATCATATTTGAAAAATAAAAAATATATATTCTAAATATACATGGAGTGTAAAAATTTGAAGTATATTTTAATTTTAAATAAAATGTAAGTTTAATGGAAATAACTTATGTTTAAATTAGAAAATGATACAAATTATTCAAGAGTTAAATCCGATTTTCTTTTCTATTTTGCACAAAAAATCAAAACCTTGCCCTGCTCGAAAACTTGACCTAAAAATAGAGCTCAAAACATTCGACAACCAAGAACCAGGTTTCACCTCATTTTCTTTCATAGACCTTTGCTGCGTTTCAGCTCCCATAATCAACTCAAATTTGTCCTAAAACCTGCAAGAAAAGATCAACACTCGGAGATGACCGGGAAAAAGGAAAGAAACAAGGAGAGAAGGGAAAAGAGACTCCAGGAGATTTCACTTCTCAGAACAATTCCTTATTCTGATAATCAAAGGTATTTTTTCTTTGATTTTGATGCTTACCCAGATCGGTATTTCAACACATTAGTCGAAAACAAGTAAATACTTTCAGGTGGTGGTCACAAGAAACTGTTGCTGTTGTAACCGGTGCTAACAGAGGAATCGGATTTGAGATTGCAAGACAACTTGCGGGTCATGGATTGACAGTAATACTAACATCAAGGGACATTAGTGTTGGCATTGAAGCAGCCAAGGTTATACAAGATTTGGGTTTCATTGTTGATGTTCATCAGCTTGATATCTTGGATAGTGAATCGATTTCGGCGTTTGTCGATTGGATAAGACAAAAATATGGTGGTGTTGATATCTTGGTAAGATGAAATTTGGTTTATCTTTCTTTGCTTATTGCCTTGGCCAACCTTTGGTATAACTTTTGATGTTTTTTTCCCGGTGAACTTATATTTTGCAGGTGAATAGTGCAGGTGTTAACTATAACCTTGGGTACGATAATTCTGTGGAATTTTCCCGGCAGGTAATTGAGACCAATTATTATGGAACCAAAAATATGACTAAAGCAATGATACCAGTGATGAGATCTTCTGCTGTTGGTGCTCGTATTGTTAATGTGAGCTCACGGCTAGGCAGGCTAAACGGCCGGCGCAATGTGAGTAAATGATTCTCGTACTTTATCCTAAGTAATCTCTTCAATGATTTGTGAATAAGAGCTAAGGGTTGCCATGTACTTATGTGTCTGATGAATTGGATTGTTGCTTTCAAGTTGTTTGGAAGTTGATTGAAGTCTATGTTGCTCTAACTCTTCATTTTTTCCCTTAAAGTATCCATTTATGACACCCGTGTCTGATGCATATTCGAATATGGTTATAAGGTTATAACCCTCTAAATACATGAGAATCTTGAACCAAATTGTAGTATTGTACTTACGTCGCTTTTACATACATATTTGTATTTGGCACTTGTACCTTATTCCTATTAAACATAGATCGAAGTAAATTTTCCCCCTTGTACTTTGAACTAAATTTAGGATTTTTTTTGGCAGAGAATCCAAGATGCAAATTTGAGAGAAAAACTAACCAATTTGGAAACTCTCTCGGAGGAATTGATTGATAGAACAGTGTCTAGTTTCTTACAACAAGTTGAAGATGAAACATGGCAATCGGGTGGATGGCCTCAAACATTCACTGATTACTCAGTATCTAAACTCGCTGTCAATGCTTACACTAGACTGCTTACCAAAGAACTCTCTCGTCAATCACAAGGTGAAAAGATATATGTCAACTGTTATTGTCCAGGATGGGTGAAGACTGCAATGACCGGTTGGCAAGGCAATATTTCGCCCGACGTTGCGGCTGACACCGGAGTCTGGCTTGCCCTGCTTTTGGACCCAGCAATAACAGGAAAGTTTTTTGCAGAGAGACGAGAAATCAACTTTTGAGTCGATCAAGTTTAGTATTGCAGAGTTTAGAGATTCATTTTATTCGTGAAGATCTAAAGCTTAAAGCAATTGAAAGTAACTTGTTTTAGAAGCTATTTAGCCCATACCTAGCACCAAATGAAACTAACATACGAATAAATGTTTCCTTCCGTTTAACCTTAAAAGCTATGTAAAACTCTACAGACTCTTAATTTTTCTTAAAAGCTATGTTTAGAGATTCATTTTATTCGTCGATGTTTACTTTATGGTTGGTTGGTGGTAACTTGTAAGGCAAATTTACATGCATTGGGCTCTTTCTTATGGCGGGCGATCATGTGTCCATGGTAGTTCAGCAATGTAATATAATTATAGAATTCTTGAACTCTAATGCTTAGCCCGGAACTGTCCGATTCCTGTAATAGAATTCCCAGCCTTTGTTATTCGAAGTCAGGTACGAGAGTGTCGGATGCATAAAAGGGGTATGGTTAGACTTTTGTAGTGGGCTTCTCATATATTTGGAGGATCCTTGAAGATCACATTCCCTTATCCGGCACATGTTCACATAAAAAGGTTACTGCATTACAAATTTACAGAACTAGTGAACCATGTATGTCGAACCATAATGTCTTATAAAAACTATACAATGAAACCCTTTGTAAGTTCTCTCCATTGGAGTAGTTAATCTGTGGTTTGATTGCAATTGCTCAAAGGGCAGCTTCCGTAGTACTAAATTGCGGTTACGATGCCACAATTATATATGTCGTAAATATTAAAATACAATTTATTTTTTAAAAATAATTATATATCTATGACGCGATTTATGATGTCACGGTGACCTTGAGCTATAATTCATACAAGGGTTGCAATAGATGGATCACGGGTACACGTGGCAAACGCTGAGAACACCAATAGAATCCAACACCCGAATCGATATCGTTTCACTTCAAGGAAGAAGGGAAAAAAAGCTTCGAATCCTTCCCCTTTCGTTCCACAAAGTTTGTATTTCTGGAAAAGGCAGCAACAAGAAACAAGAATGGTGGGTGTTTGGGTGAGGTGAGAAGAAGACCGGTGGATGGAGTCGGACTCGAATGGATGGAGTCGAGCTCGAGGTTTGATAGTGAAGACTCTGGTTTTAATCGGAGGCCTTCTTTTTCTCAAAAGGTTCACCAAATCCACCACTCGTTGGGACCACGCTAAATTTGTTGCTCGTTCTCTTAGCGGCGAAAAGGTTCTTCCTTCTTTTTTCATTAAAATTTTGAAGCTTTTCCATTACTTTTATTTCATTTCATCTCAATTTTTGTTCTTCAATGGCAGTCCTCGCAGGAGCAAGCCTCTAGAAATCCAGATAGTTACTTCAACATCAGGTAGTAATAGTATGTAATACTTTATTCTGTATAGGAAAAATGAAGGAATTTAATTTATTTTAGTTTACAATAAGTAATCATGTATTAGTTTAGCTTATGATTGATGTTATTACCAGCAATGGGTATTTGCCAATTTATGATTTTTCATTTTAAATATTGTTAAATTGAGGGAGATTTATCATTGTAGAGCACTTACTTGCCCTGCAACAGAGATGGTGGATGGGTCAAAGGTTTTATATTCAGAACAGGTTTGTGGTTCAATCTTTTCTGTTACTAAATCTTCGCCAATTTACTTTCACTTTTTTATGGACTAGGCATTCTGGAGGACTCCCCAGAAACCTTTCCGGCAGGTAATCAGTTTTGCGGAATGATAGACGATACACCGGACACACAACGATGGAAGTTTTTATTACATTACAGCTTTTATTCTGAACCTATTTCCTTTGATCACATAACACTTTTTGGTGGAATGCCTTTACCTCATACAATCCTGATAGTCTTTTGGTTGCAGAGGTTTTATATGGTGAAGCCTTGTCCGAAAGATTTGAAGTGCGATGTTGAGGTTTGTATCGGCTCGGCTTTATCATATGATCTCATACTTCTGTTGAATGATTTAACAGTTGGAGTGTGGCATGCTAATTGCTAGGGAACAATTTCCGACTTGTGTTTGAACCTTGAGGGTTTATTAACAACCTCTCCTATACCAATCTGCTCTATAATTATTTCATATCTGTTCGATCGCCTATTGCGTTCATATGATGCCTTCGGAAGTAGCAATCATTTTGATTTCTAGCTTATGTTTTACGGCCACAGTTAAGTACTTATGCAATTAGAGATGCGGATGAATACAAGAATTTCTGTGATCGTCCAAGGGATCAACGCCCGCTACCTGAAGAAGTTATCGGTGTATGCTTTTTCACATTATTATCTTTCATGTATGCCATGTATACGATACCTCTGATTTTTCTTTCGTAATTTGAAGATATTATTGGTTCTCAATGTACATGTTGCTTATGATGGCTGTTTCTATCTTGCTATGACTTATTCTGTAATATGAACAGGATGTTGCTGAACAATTGACAACTATACATCTCAAACGCTGCGATAGGGGGAAACGCTATTTATATGAAGGTTCAACTCCACCGAGCGGATTCCCGAATTTATGGGTATATTTCTCACCATTCAACCGTGTCGTCATTTTTTTCGATTTACTTGTCGCGTACCTTGCAAGGCCAGGAATACGCTTGACACGATCCTCCTCGTATCAGCACACTGGATGCTTACTTTATTAAGTAGTTAGTGCCAGATTTTTTCTGTCGTCTCACGAAATTCTTCTTTTGCTTTCCTACTAGAATGGAGCAACATACTGCACTTCAGAACTCTCGGTTTTGAAGAACAATGAGATACATACCTGGGATAGGGGTTACGATGATGATGGAAATCAGGTGTTATTCGCAGTCTTTGTCGACTCGTGTTTACGACTCTCCCCTCCCCTTTTCGTCTCCACTAGTTGTGCTTATACATATATATTTCTTTGTTAGGTTTGGGGAGCTAAGGAAGGCCCTTATGAGTTCAAGCCTGCACCGTTTTCACCTCCGAATTTTGCACCTCCGCAGACGGTGGAGAAGAGGATAGAGGGATCGTTTGTGTTGGAAGAATGATTCATGGTTTACATATATTCTGAATCTGTAAAATTTCAACTCCGTTACATAAGTTTGAGTGAAGTTCCTTGGATTATTTGATTGCATTCAACCACTCAAAATTCACAGAATTGTACTGCAAACTCTGTAAAATTCTTAATAAACACTATTTTACAAAGGGTAAATTACGTGTTTAATAGATAAATATAATTTTAGTCCATTTTAATACCTAAATTTTTAATTTTTTTTCAAAATCGTACTTAAAATTTAGTTTTGTTGAAGTTTAGTACTCATAGTTTAAAAGAAAAGTTCAGTTTGAATGGTACTGAATCAGTCAGTGGACGAAGGATTGGTAGAATCTAGCAGACGCATGACGTGTCGTCTATGCATTGGTCAGACTGAAAGCGACCGTTCTGTTGACCGTAGTCTTTTATCAGATACCTTTTGCCTGAAACACAGTCCTCCCCATCTTCGTTACTTCTTTTTTCCAGTTTTTTGCTTCGCCAATTACAGTAAATAGAATTAATTTTTAAACTGAATTTTAATCTTAATTTTTAAATTTTTTCATTTGAATGTTATTACTTTAATAACCCCAAATAATCATTATTGAACAATATCCCAAACAGCTTTAGTTAGAAAAATATTCATAAACTGTCCGCGTAAGATGATTTTGTTTTCCGTAAAAAGTGAGTTTAGACATCACTTTCTACTAAAAGCGATTTTCATGTATTTATTGGGTCCAAATTCTTCCACGTGTCGTCGGATTTCACGTTTTACAAAATTTGAGGTATGCATATGTGAGTAGACATGTAAATAAATTGAACATTCAGTGAATTGTTCTGTAGGAAGTTTGTTTATTTATTAAATAAACGAACATAAATAAAATTTTATGTTCGTTTAAATAAATGAACGAACACGAACAAATGTCTCGCTCAATCATTTACGTTCATGAACGTTCTGTAATATGTTCGTTCATTTATGTTTGTGTATGTTCGTTTATATTCGTTCACTTATGTATGTGTATGTTCGCTTATGTTATTTCATTTATTTATGTGTATGTTCGTTTATATCCGTTCGTTTATATTCAGTTCAATCTCTATACGTATTTAAAATATTAAGATTCAATCATTAATATTTTAAAACCAAAATAATTTTAAACTCAAATCAATTAAAGAAAATATAATGAATAATGAATTTTATGTAGTTATTGTTGTTGTTTACGTTCATTTATTTTGTTCAATTATTCTTATTTGTTATGTTTGTGCAGATTCGTCTATATTCATTGATGTTTATTTATTGTGTTCTTTTACGTTTATTCATTTGTTGTATTCGTTTACATACATTCGTTTATGCTCGTTTATTATTTAAATGTACAATTTTTTATTCGTGTTCATTCAATTTATTTACAGACATGTACGTGAGCCATTTGAAGTATCTTTCTAACCAAATCTGTTTGGGTTATTTTCTTACTTGATGAATTTTCAGGGGGGGGGGGTTTAACTAATATCGCCTTTGAAATTACCGGCTTAGCCCTTTTTCCCATCTTGTCTTAAACTGAAAGCCCTTTTCAGAATCACTGTACTCTGTAGCAGTAGCAGTAGCAGTAGCAGTAGCAGAAGAAAGAAAGAAAAAGGCTTTCAATTTATCAATTTCAAAGTAGAGACGGTCCAATAATATATATATATATATATATATAACGCGAATTTAATATTATTGGGTTTTCTAAAAGTTGTTATGTAACTGAAAACAAAACAAAAAAAAAATATTAATGAAACGAGGATAGGCTGAGAGTTTTTGCTGGAATAAAGTTGATTGCTTGTACGAGTGGCATCAACAGATTAAAAGAATCTCAAAGGAGTTAGTTCACTGTTGAGGCAACAGTTGAACCAAGATTTTGAAGTCATATATTTAAAATATGAAGATCAATTTCGAATCTTACTATCGTTATATTTAGTGGGTGATTTATAAATTTTTATAAAAATTTAATTATATCTTAAGTATGTTTTGGTTCTAGACGGTAAAAATCACCCTTGACCTAAACTTTAATCGACCAAAAGAATTATAACATTATAATTGTGTTTTTCAGTTATTTACTTAAATGCTTGTGTTAATGGCTAACATGTGGCGTCGAGAATAGTAGCAACAAGGGGATATAAAAGAAAACTCACCAACCCTAATATATGATATCAAAGTGCGATCATAATATGAGGTGTAAAAGAGGGTTGATTCATTTAAAAGTTGAGACCGAGATACGTAAGAATCAAACGACTTCAATAATTAAAGGGATAATAATTATTCTTATAGATCTCGAATTCAAGCATCACATCTACAAAAATGTTTAAACGTTCATTGTTAAATGATTAAGAGTATTTATGATAGATACTATTTTGTAATTATCATACATACTCAAAATGATAAAAAATGAGATTAAGACATAAATCACTAAACATCTCTACAACTTTCGTAACCACTAATATTCTTAGTCGTCTTCCCTACAATTATCTATTTAAAAGAAGGAAATAAACACGAACCAAGTAATCTTAATGATTAAGAGACTTGTTATTCTTTGTAGAGGTCTTGGGTTCAAATGTCGTCAGAAGTATGAGCGTTTGTTACTAGTTAATGAAAAAAAAATTAAAAATGTTAACTTATATTCATCTCATATCTATAAAAATAAAAGGAAAAAAATATCATAAATCACTATCTTCTATCATAATATCAACATAACTTGTTGGCATCAAGAGTGCTCAACAACGTCCCCCATGACTTTGGGGCACGAGTTCTAATCCTCAAGTGCATTTCAACATCAAATGTGTCATTCAATGTTAATTGTTCCTTCAAATTATTCAAGCTTTACAATTCATGTAGGGTCGAGAGAAAATCTCGAAAACTGAAAATGAAACAAGGCATCACGATGATGCAATACATTATAGTTGTTAAGTTCCAACTACTCACGTAATCGAAAGATCCCTTAATAACTATTATTTGTTATTATTTAATTAAGAATGAAATGTATAAGTACGAATCAATTTAACTCAGTGGTTAAAAGAATGATTATTATTTATAGAGGTCGGGTGTTTGAGCACTAACAATTGTAAGGTATTCCAACATTTATTGTCAAATGATTAAAAATATATAAAACAAATACTACCACTTGTAATCATCATATATATAAAAAAATAACGAAGTATATAAATATATTAAGTGTTTGTGTTTTATTTCATCAAATATAACTTTAAAACACAATAAGTTTTTACCAAATAATTTGTGATAATTGCAAGATGTTCATAGTAATTTTTTAGTTATTAACAACGTATACACACCCTACAAATGTATTTGTTCAAATTCGAAATCCCTAAGGAGAACAACGTTCATAGTATTTATTAGTTATTAACAACGTATACACATCCTACAAACGTATTTGTTCAAATCTAAAATATTTAAGAAAAAATAATTTTCTCCGTAATTACTAAAATAGTTTGATGGGTTCAAAACACGATGATATTTTAATCACACTAGGATTAAAAAATTATAACATAATGTGCCTAATATTAATACTATTTTTCCTAAAAGAAATTGAACTTTTTACGCCTTAAAGCAACTGAATGTTGCATGTTGTCCTTCGCTTAACGAAATCAGACCAGACAAGTCCAACGAAGTTTCAAACCGAAAATCCATGCTCAACCAGTGAAGTCAAAGGAAGCATTATCTGCTACTGCTCAGGTGCACCCAAATTACCCTAAAGATATATGTAATCACCAATCAAATGGCTAAAAAATTCCAGCATTAAAGTCCTAAACCAAAAATCTGTCCGTACCTTCCTGGGGATCATCAGTCAGTCGTTACGTGAAAAATCTAAACACTTTGTCTTTCATGACGTGTCTAATTTTTATTGGTTTCCTATGCAGAAACCAATGCAGAGTGGAAGGTAAATTGATTATCGCTAGATATTTATGCTCAACGACAGCCTAATATATAATTAACGAAAAACGTTACCAAAAGTATTAATAATTTTTTATATTTTTAACAGTATGTTATTTAAAATATTATTTTTTATATCAAAAATATTAATTTCATTACTTAAAATAAATATTTTTGATATTAATATTTTAAGTAAAATCTAATATTAATATTACTAGTAAAAAAATAACATTTTAATTAATGTTCTATCAAAAATATTAATTTTTTTAATATTTTTAGTAACATTTTGCTTAGCCTTATAATATATTAAAATATATTTCCTTATACATCCTCTTTCCCTCGCTTCTTGGGTTCCAAATTGTCAACTTGGTTTCCCTCCAACAAAGCAAAACAAAAGGGTTAATTCACCAGACGACCCATACTATAATCAAGACTCTAAATCAGTGTTCAAGTTTCAAAATAATTTAATCGAGTTCTAAATTATCATACAAATTATTTTAACCATGTATACCAAATGTCTAAATACAAATCTAATTATATATGAATAACTTGAATATGGTATGTTAAAAAATAAATTATAGTTCTTATAAGTTTCAATGTTATTTTATAGTTTCAATATATCATATACAATTTATTTATGTAATAGGTACATATATGTTCAACACTTGATATACATAATGATTTGGTTAATACAAATATTGAAACTTTTAGGACTTAATTAAAATAGTTTTAAGTTTACGATTCAAATTAGGATAAAATGCATTAGTTAAGGATGCTCGACAAAATTAACCATCTAAACAGTGAGGGTGTTTTGGGGATTCCAAATTTTCTTCTTTATAGCGACCCACAGCTTTAGATAGTAATGAAATTCTTCAATCTTCACTTCATTAGTAGACGCTTGAGAGTTGATACTTGAGAGAAAAGAGGAGAGCTTGATCACAGAAATGGACCAGGAGACTTCCGCTATCGGCAGCTACTTCAAGTGGGACCCAATAGGAGTGTTGCCGCCAGCGCCGGCGCGAATTATCGAGGCAGTAGCGACGGCGCCGCAACCACACACGGCTGCTTGCATGGGAAGGCAGAGAGATGTCGGAGGACTAGAAGAGTTGTTTCAAGCGTACGGGATCAGATACTACACCGCAGCGACTATAGGCGAGCTAGGGTTCACAGTGAACACCCTTTTAGGCATGAAGGAAGAGGAATTAGATGAGATGATGAATAGCGTGTCGCAGATATTCAGGTGGGAGCTGCTAGTCGGTGAAAGGTACGGCATTAAAGCCGCCGTCAGAGCTGAAAGAAGGAGGCTCGAAGAAGAGGAGTATTCAAGGCGGAGACATTTGGTTTCAGCTGACACCACCGTCGCCATTGATGCTCTCTCCCGCGAAGGTTCGTTTATCATTAATTACTTATTATAACCTTAGTGTTTTCTTTCTTTTTGTTATTAGTGGTGGTTAAAATGAGTGTGCGATCGAAAGGGTTATCGGAGGAGGCAGTTCAGCTGTTTCAGCAAGAGAGGGAAGCGGCGGTGAGCGGTGGAGGTGGCACGTGGGATGCGGCGGTAGGCGATGTAAAGAAGAAGATACGGCGCCGGACTAGGCAGAAGAAGGTGATCGAAGTCGACGAAGAAGATGAATTAGAGCGCGGCGATGATTATGAAAATGGTGATATCGGCGGAGGCTGCTACGAGAGACAGCGAGAACACCCTTTCATTGTCACGGAACCTGGGGAGGTAGCACGTGGCAAAAAGAACGGCCTCGATTATCTCTTCCATCTTTACGAGCAGTGCCGGGAGTTCTTGATTCAAGTCCAAAACATCGCCAAGGAGCGCGGCGAAAAATGCCCCACCAAGGTAATCAGTAGAAGCAAATCCATATTTAGATCCGATTCTCATCCGAAAAAAAATATGAAACAAGTGTAGTTTTTGCATGGTGCACGAGATTTGACACGTGACTAGCCGTAAAAACATGGTTGGACCAACCCTCCCATTAAATCAAAACATTTTCTAGCCGATGAAAATGTGACAACTCAAGTACGTCGACGAATGGGGTCGGGACATGTATGACTAAATCTTTGCAGAGTAGGGTCCCCTCCGCCCCAAAGATTGTACTTTACTTTTGTCTTTAAACAAATCAGCTGTTCTTTTGTGAGGCCTCGTTTCCCCCTGTCCTGTCGTGCTGAGGTGGCGTGACCCTAATCCGACAGCTCCTCCATTTCTGGACTCTAACCTTGTTGTGTTCATACAGGTGACCAACCAAGTTTTCAGATACGCTAAGAAGGCCGGGGCGAGCTACATCAACAAGCCCAAAATGCGACACTATGTGCACTGCTACGCGCTGCATTGCCTCGACGAGGACGCATCGAATGCGCTGAGGAGAGCTTTCAAGGAGCGAGGCGAGAATGTTGGTGCATGGAGACAGGCTTGCTACAAGCCTCTCGTGGCCATCTCTGCTCACCGGGGCTGGGACGTCGACGCGATGTTCAATGCACATCCCCGTCTAGCTATTTGGTATGTTCCGACCAAGCTTCGACAGCTCTGCCATTTCGAACGGAACAATTCCACGGGTTCTAGCTCCGTTTCCGGCGTCGCGAACAATTCCGTCGCTTGCTTATATTGAAGGAAGAGAGAAAAGGGTAACTAACTAGGCATTTGTGTTATGTGTGGAAAGTCGTATTTGAATCACTAATTTTAGTTCCAAATCGTACTGTATAATATCCAATATCTTAGTTGAGTGGTATGATATCCATATGAACATGGTAAACACTGAAAAAAAAGAGTAAAACCGGAATGATACAAGAATCAATTCACATGCAACTAACCGAGCAAAATCCGACCGACCATCTTTCCATTCTTTACGTCAGTTTCTTTCTACTTTGTAAATAAGATGAGAGATTGCAGCCGTCGACTACCATGTTAATTTTTATTCCGGACACCATCTTGTTGATAAATCGGACAAAGTAAACGAAAGAACACAAGAATTTTAACGAGGTTCGGCAACATGCTTACGTCCTCGGTGTCTAGGCGGCGTTAGAGAGTTTGCCTTCCAACCAGTCAATTTATTATGAAATTTTTGCACGATTGGTTCTCACATTGCAACAGAATTTCTCTTAGACCCCTAAGACAAGCCTAGGTATTCCGCTGGAAAGTTACCTACTGAGCAGCCAATTTTCTTAGACCAATCTGCCAGCACATCCTCCTCAACATTGATCTCAAAAATTCTGCTCTTAACTAAATTAATCTTCAACCCCACCAATAACTCATAAATCAAAAGCACCCTTCTGACATTCTTCAAATCCCGAATTGAAGCTTTTGAAAAAAATAATAAGGTCATCTGCAAATTGTAGATGTGATAGCTTGAAGGAACGATCTTGAACTCCTAACTCGAAACTCAAAAACAGTCCCATATCCACTGCTTTAGTTAACAGCAAATGTAACAATTCACCGCCCAAATTAAACAGCAAGGGGATAACGAACATCCCTGTCTAAGACCTCTTTCCATATGAATTTTCTCCGTAGGAGTCCCATTCACAAGAACCGAAATAAAAGCTGTTGACATACACTGAAACATCTAAGAACGCCATTTTTCTCCGAACCCCATTTTACCCATTATTTTCAACAATACCGACCAATCAACTGAGTCATATGCTCTCTTAAAATCCACCTTGAAGACCACCCCCTTTAACCCTTTCTTCCTCTAAAAATCAATTCCTTTATTTGCTATAAAGGAACAGTCCAATATGCTCCTCCCTTGAATAAATGCAAATTGAGACGGACTAACTATTTCATTAATGCACAAACTGAACCTTCTAGCTAAGACCTTTGACAAAATTTTATATAGCCCTCCCACAAGGCTAATTGGCCTAAAATCCCCCATCCCCTCCGGGTTATCCTTCTTAGGAATAAGGGAAATGAAAGAATGATTCACCTCCAAGTCCCACTCCTTCCCCTGAAAAAATCCTTAAGAAACAACATAATATCATCTTTCAAAGTGGTCCAGAATTTCTTGAAAAACCTAAATTCAGACCATCCGAGCTAGGAGCTTTGTTAATATCCGAGTTAGCAATTTCTCCCCAGACCTCCTCTTCCGAAAATGGCTTCTCAAGTGCTAAACTCTGACCTTTCGATAGCTTTAGAAATTCCAGATTTAATTCCTCAGCCTCCAATGAATTACTTTGAGTAAACAAACCATTAAAAAACTCCACTACTAAATCTCTAATTAAGGTAGGATTTTCTATAACTTCATTACCCATTCTAAGGGACTTAATACCATTTTTCCTCCCTCTAACTATAGCACTATGATGGAAAAATCTGGTGTTCTTATCTCCCTCAATTCTCCATTTCAATCTCGATTTTTGCAGCCAAATCGATTCTTCTTTCTTATAAAGCTCCCATAATTCTTTCGTTGCTTCAATTATTGATTTCATTGTCACCGAGGGAAGGCCTTGTTGCATATCCAATTCCATGTCCTGAATTCCTTTCTCCAACAATTTAATTTTCCCGGGCAGCTCTAAATAACCCCTCCCAGACCACCTCTTTACCACATCCTTTACCCGCTTTAACACCTTAGACATGGGCTTCCCCTTTTCCTCTTTACAAAATTTATCCAGCTCCTTTTCCATCATCTCAGTAAAACCATCCTCCTCCATAACATAGTTAAACAACCTAAACGGTTTCAACCCCCAATTGCATTCTTTGTTCTCCAACAGAATAATATTATGATCGGAAACTGACCTTGGCTGCAATGATTGGCTTATCCTCGAAAACAAAATTACTAATCTCTGATCAACTAAAAAGCGATCCAACCTCTCAAACGTAGGAACTTCCCTATTATTGCACCATGTAAAACGGCCTCCAGACATTGGTAGGTCAAACAAATTTGCCTTGCTCACAAAATCTCTAAACATATTCATAGAAACCGAATTCACAGCTCCTCCTTCTTTCTCCTACTGTGACAAGATTGCATTGAAATATCCTCCTAAGCATAATGGACATTCAACGTTCTCCACAAATGCTAGTAACTCCCTGAAGAACATCTCCTTATCTGCATCCACACTAGGACCATACACATTGATGAAACAGCAGTTTCCTGGAAAACCATCCATAGTCCCTAAAATTGCTACAAACTGCTAGAAATGACTACATCCTTCACCACAAATTCATTCTTATTCCACAAGGTAATTAATCCACCAGCAGAACCTATAGCAGGAGCTACTGCCGATCCAACAATTAGGACAATTATATTAATACCAACTTGATTTGTTTGGAATCCTCCCTTGTTAGTGTTTCTAATTATACTGGGGCATTTAGATGATTTTGGTTGCGGCTTTTTATTGATTAATATCTCTTCTTTCCAGGATTTGGCTGTTGTTGTTTTGCTTATACTCATACCTCTAGTCTCACCAAATTCATCAAAAGGAGGGGTAAGATCTTCTAAATTCTAATAAATCCGGGCCTTTTTCCTTTGCTTTTCCTTTTTATTGTTTGTTTCACCTTTAATATTCTAATTGGTCTTGCTTTTATATTATGCCATTTGCATACATCTAGATTCTTTGTTTTATTACTTGCATAAACCATAACGTTTTCTTGGGGCTCAAATTTTTTTGATTAATCAACCAGAAAGTTCTCTTTGGGATCAGGTTTTGATGAGTGATTTTCCTAAGCTTCTATGAATAGAAAGCAGCCTGTTCCTTCATCTAAGGGATGGCTTAATTTCTGTTTATGCTTATTTATTTTCAGCATACTCCATTAGTTTGCTTTAAGGGAGCATGTGCCTTTCCCAAAATCTTTTCTTTTCTAATTTGATGTTTGCCTCCATAAATAGTTCTAATGAAATTCTTAGGAAGTATTTTGGATAAACATTTGCTAGTATAAATATTTAGGAAAAAATAAGAAAGAATTTTGATGGCTAAGGCAAGTTAGGAAGCGAAATTCCCCTTGTCTGGTTTATCTGCTATGTTCTTGTTATCACTGCTGACAATTCTATGTTTAATATTGGCACTTTCAGTAATGTAATATTTCTGGTTTTCAGATTGGTTTTAGAGCCATTGCAGAAACTCTTGGACTGGCTGCTGTTAAGGCAGCAGTTGCCATCGCTGGAATTATTGCCGGGGGACGGTTGGTAAGTTTTATTTCTTAAAACACTATTTTTTTTATGTATCCTGTAGTATTTGAATAATTTATCATCTAATATTAGACTGATGAGAAACTTTGAAAGTTATCTATTAAGAGTAATCGAATATAACCTGGTTGGATGAATGTAGTATCATTTTGTGGAATAGTTGATAGCATGCGAGAGGTTTGTTATACATATAATAAATGCATCTAATAGTCTGATACTGTTGACTCATAGAAGCAATTTACCGACAATGTTCTGAATTTACCAAGGTTGTTCATACCTGTGCTTGATTCTGAAAATGAGCAACGCTTCAGAAACACAGCAGGTGCTGATTTTTGTGTACTTTGCAGTTGCTACGGCCAATCTATAAGCAAATAGCAGAAAATCAAAATGCAGAAAGTGGAAGAAAACTGAGAGAGGTGGCTGGATTACATTACTGAGTTTGGAGAATGACAACACTTGCTTAATTGGCTTGTTTTAGGTTATTATTGGTACTTCCATATGTTGATGGTCAAGTATATGCAACTATTCACAATTTGACTTTTCAAGTTGGGATGTCAATTGACCCAAAGCTTCTTGTGTCAAATTTTCCTGTCATTGCGGGTATATTAGCACTCTTACTTGGTGGAAAGACTGTGTTGGTAGCAGTTGTTGGGAAACTTTTTGGTATTTCAATCATATCTGCCATAAGGGTTGGTCTTCTTCTGGCCCCATGTGGAGAATTTGAATTTGTGGCTTCCGGTGAAGCTGTTAATCAGGTAGCTTTCTCTATTAGCTAACATCAGTTGGTCTCATCCACATCTAATAGTTTATCTTGCATTTGGTAACCTTTTGGGCTATTGGGTTTTACTTTTGATTTTTTCATTGTAAGGTTTGTTCTGTAATAATTTGGGATATTCATTAGTTTTGTATCATATATCTTAGGTAAATGGGCACGCTTTGTTACTAATCAATAGGAATCATCCTTCTTTTAATAATGAAATCCAACTTCCAAGTGCTAATAATGGAACTTTTTATTGCTTATGCAAGTATTAATGGGTTTCTTTTGGCAGGGAATAATGTCTTCTCAACTATCCTCGTTGTTGCTCCTTGTTGTGGGGATTTCAATGGCCCTCACACCATGGCTTGCTGCTGGAGGCCAGTTAATTGCCTCTCGTTTTGAGCAGCATGATGTTTGAAGTTTATTGCCGGTTGAGAGTGAGGTAACATGTCTAAATTTAGGTTGCGAGTTTTAGTTTTCCCCCTCAGTAGTTCGTAAATAACTAAAGCAGGCCTTCCCATGGTTCTTTGGAGTGAACTCCATGTTTTGCTACATTTTGAGGTTGTAACAACTAAATAAGGAAAGTGTAATGCATTTAGGTTATATATGGATCCCCAGGAAGATATGGGAAGAAAGCGTCATTAATTTTGCAATAAAAGTCATTTGGAGTGATTATGATCAGATAGTAAATATTGGAGGGAATATAAAGTATCTGTATGCAGTAAATCTCTCTGATTTCTGATGTAGAAGGATTACGTACTAATTTATCTCTGACTTGTATTATTTCCAGACTGATGATTTGCAAGATCATATTATCATTTGTGGCTTTGGGCGTGTTAGCCAGATGTTTATCTATTTACACCCTGAATTTGAAAAATAAGTCTGAAAATGTGAATCTGATGAACCTCCACCCTAATTGGTTAATAATGAACACATGTTTATAATAATGTCATATTTTCTCCATTTCTTTGAGTGTTTTCAGATCATAGCTCAGCTTCTCTCAGAACGCCTAATTCCATTTGTTGCTCTTGATGTGAGGAGGTAACAAGATAATTTATTTGAATGAATTATTTGCTCTTTTAAAAAAAAAATGAAAAGCCCAAATAGTTGTCAAACGCGGTGTTTATGATTTTGCAAACATCCAACTTCATCTAAACCTAGGGTATAGGTCCTTATGTTTTCCAATTTAATTCCTCCAAGATACTTGCCTGTATGATGACTCACACATGAGTTTGTCTTTCATTTCTATTTATCCTATGTATCGGTGTAATATTATATGTCCACTAACAGAACATGTGTATGTGATTATGAGCTAGAGAGGCTGCTGTATATATGGGAAAGTTGGTTCCTTGTGGAGAACCTGGCATCTCTTTCTGCAAACGCTTTTCCAAAGAAGAAAAATGAGAAAAATAGATTCTAATTGTCTTCACTGTAGCTGTCATATTCCATTGAAAAAACACCACTGTTATACATTTGTAAGGGTAGCCCTATTTCCCGGCTTTTTTCTGCTAGTGCAAAACACTCACTTTTGCCTACTATATGAATGACATTTTTCTTGAAGAAGCTAAGACTCCATGGACTTAGGCTGATTCATTTCGGAAATGGCCATAAAGTAATAGTTTTTTCATCAATGGTAGACATTACAGATGAGCAGATTTCTAAAGTTCAACATTCGATAATGGTAAAATACTAAAAGTTCTGCCATTTCAGTGACAGGGTAGCAATGGGGCATGCCCTGGACATTACTGTTTGAAATAAGCCTACTCGTAGATCACTATTTTGGAGATAAACAAAATTATTTTGGAGATGCTGGTAGTCGGGAGGTAAGCAAAATTAGTTTGAAATAAGCCAACTCGTAGATCACTATTTGACTTCCTTTATACTGGTAATTAGGTCCTCCATAAAGTTGGTGCTGAAAGAGCTTGTGCTGCAGCAATAACCTTGGATACCCCTGGTGCTAATTATAGAACTGTTTGGGCTCTGAGCAAGTATTTCATTAATGTGAAAACATTTGTCCGTGCTCATGATGTTGATCATGGCCTTAATTTGGAAAAAGCTGGGGCTACGGCTGTAATATTCTGAGAACTACTACTAAATTTTCCTCCTGGTGTTTTTCTTCTGGTTTTTCCTTACTCTTCTCTCGCTTCACAGGTTGTGCCAGAAACCTTAGAACCGAGTCTGCAGTTGGCAGCTGCTGTTCTTGCGCAGGTATGATACATCATTGGTTTCGTATCATGATTTGGAATTGCAACTCTTGCTTTGGAAACTTACTAATGTGATTAAGGTTGGAGAGTTTAGTTTGTTTTTCACTATGCTTCCGTTTATGTTCTTTTATTTATTTATCATACTGATATCTTAAAACATCCAAGTCTTTTCTTTTTGCGTTTCTTTACGTAGGCTAAACTGCCCACATCCGAGATTGCAGCAACAATCAATGAATTCAGGTCCCGCCATCTTGCAGAGCTAACAGATATACTTCCTTTGACCATACGCCCTCCTTGTAGCTGAAAATTTAAAATCACCACTTCTTAACATTGAAAGTTTCTATATTGCCTTCCTTTCTGTTAAACTATACCTAACATCTCAAGGTTTATTTTTATCGTAATTCACGTGTTTTCATTCTTCACAGCTATGCCAAGCTATAGCGGAAGTTCTCTTGGTTATGGATTTTCTCGAGTCACAAATAAATCCAAAACTCAACTGCCAGATTCTTCTGATGAAAATATTTCTGAAGGAACTTTGGCGATATGAAAGTTTCCCGGTGTTACCCCCCAACCCAGCCCCCTCACACACACAGAGAAAGTGGAATAAAAAACAGTATAGAAGAACACAAGCCCCCTTTGTTGTAAGTTGTACAGAATGGAACTTTTCAGTGATAATTTTGAAGGGGTTGATAAATTTTTGATGAATCCTTTCTTAATTCTTTATCAAATGGTAATGGACAGGAAGGGAACATGTTCATGGATCGATGTTTTCATGTTGTTGAAGAACAATCTCAAAGACATAACACAATCCTTATCCTACATCAATGCAGAAAATTTACTCTGCCTCTTCTCTGGCTTCAATGGATATATCATATATCTGTGTGTAAACTATATACTAAAAGATATAAATTGCTGCAACCTTAATACAGTAAAGGTCCAAAAGTGAATTGTAGTAAAAAAGAATAATCGTGACACAATAATTTCTGCAGGTTCTGAATAGGCAAATTTTAACCAATTTGACAA